GTGAACACGCAGCCCACATTTGATTGAAAGTTGAACACGCAGCCCAAACTTTAAATTTCTGAAATCTGAACACGCAGCCCAAATTTGATTTTTGAACACGCAGCCCCATTTGATTGAAAGTTGAACACGCAGCCCAAACTTTAAATTTCTGAAATCTGAACATGCAGCCCAAATTTGATTGTGAACATGCAGCCCATATTTGATTGAAAGTTAAACACGCAGCCCAAACTTTAAATTTCTAAAATCTAAACACGCAGCCCAAATTTGATTGTGAACACGCAGCCCGCATTTGAACACGCAGCCCAAACTTTAAATTTCTGAAATCTGAACACGCAGTCCAAATTTGATGATGAACACGCAGTCCACATTTGATTGAAAGTTGAACACTCAGCCCAAACTTTAAATTTCTGAAATCTGAACACGCTGCCCAAATTTGATTGTGAACACGCAACCCACATTTGATTGAAAGTTGAACACGCAGCCCAAATTTTAAATTTCTGAAATCTGAACACGCAGACCAAATTTAATTGTGAACACGCAGCCCACATTTGATTGAAAGTTGAACACGCAGCCCAAACTTTAAATTTCTGAAATCTGAACACGCAGCCCAAATTTGATGGATTTCAGTGGCTAAGAGGCTAAATCATGGCCAATGCAAGTGCTCTAATGCATAGCCTTAATCATGAAGGAATGAAGCATGCATAGGGGAAAATGACCCCAAACAGAGAATAGACCTTAATCAAACATAAAGATAATATCAAAAAGAAGATTTTTTTCAGTTTAGGTCGAGGTCTAAAATGGCTCACAAATAAGGCTAATGTATTATGCAAAAACAGCCCTAAAACAGAGATAGAACAAACAGGGCAGCAAAAGGCCTCAAACAGCAAAGAGCCCTTCAACAAAGTTGAAGAGGGGCTCAAAACAAGATACTTTACAGTTTATGGCAAATCTTGAATATGCTCACAAATAAGGCTAAAATATGATGCAAAAATAGCCCTAAAAGAGAGATAAAGGGAAAGGGGCAGTAGATGGCCTCAAATAGTAAATATCCCTTCAACAAAGTTGAAGAGGGGCTCAAAATAAGGTACTTCACAGTTTGGCTCGAAGCCCAAAAATGCTCAAAAACAGGGCTAATATATCATGCAAAATAAGTCCCAAAAGAGAGATAAAGCACAAAGGGGGAGTAGAAGACTTCAAACAGAGAAAAGTCATTAATCAAACATGAATATGAGCTCAAAATAAGACTTTTTTTAGTTCAGGCCGAAGCCCAAAAATGTAAGAAAAATGGGCTAAGATATAGAACAAAATAGTGCCAAAATGGAGAGAATAGGAGCTTACCCTTGTAGCCCAACTTTCCAGCAGCCTTTGGTCCAAGAAAATGAGCTTTCAACCTCTGCAAATGACTTCCAAGGGGCTGGAATGGATGATGGTGGTGTGGTGCTATGGGTTGTAGTGTAAATGGACTAAGGAAGTTTGGGTTTTGGAGCTTGGAATAGTAGCAATGGAGGTGGGAGGTGATGAGCCTTAAGCAAAATTGTCTAACCCTTAGATATGAAGAGGAGGGCTTCTCTTATAGAGAAGAGAGGTCAAAGCTTCCCTTGGAAGCTTCAAAGATCCTCCATACATGTGTATGGAAGATGCACCAAATGATCTCCAGCTGGCACAGCTGGATTACACTCAAAGAGAGGAAAAGCAATAAGCAGGCCGGCCAGTTCAAGTGGCCGGCCGACCACTCCCCCTGGTCGGTCGACCAGGGGTCAAAGGGTTCAAGAACAATTGCTGGTCGGCCTACCCAGAAAGGTGGCCTCCCAAATGAGTAGAACACAGCCCTGTGGAGAAAAATCAGAAAATGTGACCCAAGAGAGAGAAAAGCTAGCTTTTAAGCAAGGTTCAAAAGCGGCAAAGTGAATTACTGGTCGGCCTACCCATATTGGTGGCCTCCCAGGTGAGTAGATCACCATGGTGGTATGAAAAGCCAGAAAATGTGGCTTAAAAGTGGGAAAAACCAACTTTCTATTAGAAAAATCGACTTTCGGAGAGAGAAAATGAGAAAACTGGCTTTTCAGGGGAATAGGTGGCCGGCCATCATCCTACAATCCTCCTAATAGTGAAAATAGGGTCTCTACCAAAAATGGACCAAAACGGATGCAAAACGAAGGTTTGGGGGCCAAAACGCGCGGTTCGAGGCCCTGAAAACAGGCTGTTAGGCACCGGAAGTGGCGTATGACCACAAAGGTGGTCTCCCGGGCCACAGTGTTCCTCTAAAGGGAGGAAATAAGATATGTGCCAAAAATCGGAGCAAACGGAAGTAGTTAAGCGGTCCCGAATCGAGGCACACGGTCGACGGCTCCGAAAATCGGATACCGGGCTCCAAACGGGAAAAATGGCCTACGACCACGAAACGTAGCTTGTGGCCATTGAGAGATGATCTATGAGACCTCCCCCTCCCTTCGGGAAGAGAAAACGGAGAAAACAAAACCTGGTTCGCAAACCGAGGCAAAGCACAAAAGAGCCTCGAAGTCCGGAGGCAAGGCTCTCAGCCGAGACTCTGAAACCTCAGGTCGAGCACAATATGCAACATCACCGAGCATTCAATTGGTGACTTCTGAGTCTAAAGGTCGGTCAAAAATGGGGTGTCTACACCTCACAATTTTAATTTTCTTTTCTGTTTGGGTCTCTATCTCTGCTTTATAAACTTTAAAGGCATCAAGTGCCTCGGCCTTATCAAACAAGAGGTAGAGATACATGTATCATGTGAAGTCATCAATAAATGAGATAAAATATCTCTGACCATTCAGACAAGGTGGAGTAAATGGTCCACAAATATCAGTGTGTGATTCCAAGAATTTCCTCACTCATTTTGGCACCTTTACTGGTCTTGTTGGTCTGCTTTCCCTTTATGCAGTCCACACAAATACCAATGTTGGTAAAATCAAGAGTAGGAAGGACTTCATCATTAACCAACCTCTTTATTCTCTCAATAGAGATATGTCCCAATCTTCTATGCCAAAGAATAGAGGAGGACTCATCAACAATATTAAGTTTAATGCCAATATCACCATGCAAGGTTAAACGATTTTGTTAAAAAATAAGATCCAGATTTAATTTGTACAAACCATTAATTAAAGTACTAAATCCTACAGAAACAGAGTCTTTAGCCAAACTAAAATTTGCACTAACAAACTGAAATTCAAATCCAAACGGTACTAGTTTAGAAACAGAAATTAAATTTTTTTGAAAAAGATAGAATGTAAAATGCGTTTTCAAGATCCAAAACAAAGCCATTTTTTAAAACAAGTCTAAAAGTTCCAACAGCTTCGACGTGCGAAAGCATCCCATTGTCTGAATAGATGCCTTGTTCACTTCCCGTCGGTTTCCTTAGGCTGAGGAAGCCCTGCATGGTATTAGTAATGTGAATTGTAGAACCCGAATTAATCCACCAATCATATTGATGAGTATTAACAAAATTAGATTTATAACACACAAGAAATATGAGATTATCTTTTTTTCTCAAGCCATTTCTTA